GAAATGTGGTGTTGGAGAAGAATAGAGAAGATCAGGTGGACGGATCGAGTGACCAACGAAGAAGTATTGAGGAGAGTCAACGAGCAAAGAAACATTCTGCAGGCGATTACACGAAGGAAAGCTAACTGGTTGGGACATATTATGAGAAGGAATTGGTTACTGAGTGATATCATCGAAGGCCAGGTTGAAGGAAAGTGAGGACTGGGAAGAAGACTGATACAGCTAACCGACGATCTGAAACAAGGAAAGAAAATGAAGTTCCAGGAATTAAAACGAGAAGCTGAGAATAGGGAAAACTGGAGAGCTCTTTTTGGGCAGAGCAATGGATCTGTCGTAAGACAGAACACTGAATAATAATGAATTAAACACAATTTATATTAAATTATTTAAATAAAAATGTACATTATAAAATTAATGTGAATGTGTAACCAATCCCACATTCATGTTAAAAAGATTCAAACTGCGGCTTTATGTAGGCAAGCTTCTTTGATATTTTGCTCCAATGTTACGAAGCTGACACATTAGTTTTAATTTTTATACTCCTTCTATCTTATTAAATCAATGTTAATGTGATGATGTTTACATACCTACTGCTGATATTTCCACCATATCTGAACCTGTAACTATGTTCTTTGGAACATCTAGAGTGACCACTGTTTGAAATGAGCCCTTATTTCTGAGGTCCACAAATATAGCTTTGTTGTAATACTGGGTTTCTCCTTCAGCCTGGAATATAAATCAGGGACACATTAGCAACCAACAACTATTTCAATGTCTTTAATATAATGCATGGCTCATTCTACAACAAATTTCCACATTAGCAAATCATATTATATGGCTACTGTTAAGCACTCCAGGAACCCATTGGATAGGAGGCTGGGTGCAGAGGCTATAGGAAAAATCCTCTGGTCCCATTGGGGATCGAACCCCGGTCATCCAGTCCATAGCCTGTCACTATACTGAGCTAATAATAGTAATTATAATTCAGTTTTTACCATTCATAAGCTACAACAGGAAATTTATATTGTCTGTAATTTTATGTAAATAAATGTAAAGTGAACCCAGTTCATAGCATTGATGAACATGTTCTGAAGGTAGCCTAACTGGTCATAACACAAATATAATTTAACAATCAAATGTGAAGTGGTAGCAGATGGAAATACAAATTATAATTTGAAGTTTAAATTGTCTAAAATTTTAATTAATGTACCAAAGTATGAAACTACACAGAATAAAATAATATGAACATACTTATTTATATTTAATTATAAAAAAATGACTTACCTTTACAAGCAGTTTCTTTACCACAGAATCACCAGCCAAAGGACTAGAAGCAGTTACTTTTATAGTGATGTGGCCAAGCTTCTTTGGTGTTATCATGAATGACACAGAAGATCCACTGTTGGCTCTGACGGACACTTTCTTGCGTCGATACAGCTCAAGCTCTAGTGTGAACAAAAGTATCATTATCAAAAATAAAATATATTTTGACTTCCAGACAAATTAGTGACCTTTCTTAAAAGAATATTATGATAAAAACATACCAACATCATGTTAACTATGCTGATGGCAGTCACATTTTCAATAAAGAAGTAGGATAGTATCAGGTCCAGAGAAAATAGTATTCCACTTTGTTCTCTCTAAATTTCATCTCTTGCTACATACAACAAAATTACTAATAACTGTTATCCTACTGACACTACATTAGACATACAGGTGTATGAACTTAAAAATTAAAGCAATAATTACAAAATAAATCTTCCTGGTTTTTCAGTCAGGTCTAAGACTTGTAGACATTTCCTTTTCTTGATTTATATTCAGCTGTGGCAAGGTGACAATATAATCGTTTTATGAAACTAGGTAACACTTATCACCATTACTTCAGCTCCACTTACTTGGCTGCTCATTGACATCATTAGACACTTCAGCAAATTCAAAATTCTCCAATTGTTCATTCTCCAGAGTAACATCTGCTTCCAAGTCCTTGCTCATGTAGTTAAACACTACAATGTGAATAGCAACAGTCTCACCACGGACGACTGAATATGGCAGGTCCAATGACAAGAAGAATGGCCGGAACACTCGAAGCTACGGCAATGAAATTCAGATTTTAAAATATAAAAGTACTAATTTTTTCAAATGCTAAGCAAAACGTTTGTCTTGTCTCAAACCTTTCTTGGTGCTTCAGAAAGTCCAAGACCAAACAAAGGGTCCACAGAGAAGCCAGAAATAACCCAAGATGTAATGGTGTCTGGAACTGTTTTCTGTATTGTTGCTTTTCCATCAAACCTAAAACATAACAAATATATTCTGAAAATACAATTCCTTGATATTAGTATCAAATGATTACTTATGAAGACAATAGTCAATATAACAGAAATCATAACTGAAGGTATTTAATTACGTTTATGATAAAATAACTTATCAAACAGAGTCTCTATTTAATCACTGGGCTGAGTGTCATAGAGCCAGTGACATCATTCCTGTACAGTGGCCAACTGATCACAGACAGAACACAACTTGCCATTCCTCAGCAATTTTTACAAACAACCTACATTCTGCTTTTTGTAGGACATGTATGTAGAGACAATATTCCTGAACACATGACAAACTTGTTTTAATAACTTCATAAACTCTACAAACTCCAACAATAGTTTAAATATAATTTTCAGTGTCTATGTAGCCACTTAAAGTAAACTAGGCCTGGTTAGAAAAGATACAAAGTTCTGGACTTATTGTTTTACATGGTAGGATAAAGTCAGGTCATTTCTGACAGAATTTACAGTCTCATTTCATCCCCAACAAATTCTGATAACACCATTATCCAAAAACACTATGCAATACCACTATACCATTTTACAAGTTAATCAGTTACTTGCACATGCACTACAGAGATAAAAAAGTGGTTGGCTAATGCTCCATTGCATGGGAGAGCAGAAGTGTCAAGGTGCAGTCAAGTGATAAAAAGAGACACTGTATAGCAAAACGTAGTAATGAATGGACTTTCCTTCAAAGTGGAACATTTAAATTACACAAATTATTCTAGAAAAAAACCCAAATTATCAACCAGAAAGGGTGAACACAAAATTATAACATAATATGCCTGTGCTTCATATCAGGCAAAACTGGCAGACCAGTACTACCACAGTTAATAGCACCTTAGCACCATTCCATAAAAAAAATATGTTTAAATTATAAAAATGCACATATTGCAACCATTAACATTGTAACTTGTCAAAACATATAAATATATATTATCAATTCATGCCATGAGAAATAATGGCATTTTTTTCAATATATATGGTAGCTATCACTGTATTGTTAGGTAAATCAGATCTAAAATGGTTTTGTCATCAGAAGTATTCTGGTGGCATCTACTCTTCATTTGAGCACTGATACTTTCTGTTTTGTATTACACTGTAATCTTATGGAAGAAATTTCTTGCAGCTATAAAGATCTGTGCAAGGTAACACAACAAATTTTACTTTATTCAAGCATTCAAAACATCACCATACCCTGAAGAGAGATTGGTGAAAAGCCAAGTGGAAGCAATATCATGCATGAGGAAGACCTGGGGCTTATTCCAGACAGGAATGGGGATGCGTGAGAAGGCATACGGGCCTGCCAAAGGAGGACGTGTCACAGGCCTGTATACCACTGCAGGCCCAAGATCCAGCTTCACCGCAGGTAGACCAGGTGCTGGAATAGGTCGGAATAAGGACCGATTCTGTGCTATCAAACCCATGTCCAAGTCAGAGCCTGTAATGCAACACAAGCATTTGGAGACCAAGGGGTAGCAGTGAAAGACAGATCTTCTAGCAAAACCAGGCTGAAGTGAGGGACAATGACAGATTTTATAAGATATAGATGACAAGAGAAAAAAAATAATTTGAGGTTTTCACAGCGGTGAGTACAAAGATTTCTGTCTTCTGGCTTGTTGCGCTGTGTAGTCTGGTCGATGTTAACCAACATTTCAGAGGTCATACTGCCTCCATCATCAGGGCGATGACCGAGGCAGTATGACCTCTGAAACGTTGGTAAACATCTACCAGACTACACAGCGCAACAACCCAGGAGAGAGAAAGCTTCAAGAGAAAAATAGTTGTAACAAGTTTTGGGAGACATTACACCTATGCCATACAATTTAATGTTGTGTTTTATAGTAACTGTTACAAAACTGACACATTATTTAATATAATTCTACATTAGGTACAGGTGTAAATTATATTAAATTTTGACACAGACCAACATACCTTTTATAAGTACAGAAATAGAAGTTCAATATAGGTAATCTAATCCATTTTTTAGATATAAAATACAGATATTACAAATGCAAATTGGTTATTTTTACTTATGTGCTTCTTTTATTTTTACCCCACAGGATTGGTCTCTGAATAGTACAGAAAACTCTCTTCCAATGTGGGTTTGTCCAATTCAGATTCAATTATATGCAATAAAATAAATGTGAACAATTTTTGAACATGAAAAATTTTATTACATACAGTCTGCCAAACACACTGTAGTAGCAAATGAAAAATGCCACCATTTCTTTCTTTTCAGGGCCCTAGAACCAAATTTTGGAGGATTCCTTCTGTTATGCCAAACAGTGTCCAATGAGCAATTATCCTGTTGTAGAGACCATTGATGGTTGTATACTTTGAAGTATTGTGAATTTAGGTACACACACTTCTCAGCTTACACAGATAATCCTACTTCTGATTTTCTCTGTAGGCGGAGCATTATTAGTATAATATTAAAATATTAACAAACATGTTTTGAATAATTTCTTTAGACGAAACAGATAATTAGTAAAGTTCATCATGCACCCGTAGCTCATAGAAAATATGTGCACTGAAAACATTTTTGTCTTCACTTGTGATATCCTGCAGTGACAGGCTGCTAGTTGCTTGCTGACAGAAGTACAGATTATATTCCTCCAATAATAATGTGACCAATAACTGTGTGTAGAAAGAGTTTGGAGTATTCAGTGGAATACTCCTAACTCCCCACATACCACCACCTGTAAGCAAAGAAGAGAAGAAAAGAAAAGCCAAGAAAGAAAAGCTCCTACTGCACAGTTTATATTAGTAGTCACTGTGTTTAAAATGAAAGAATGACCGTGAGTCCTGTACAAGTATAACAAACAATCAGTAATTTCCAATATATACAAAAGTTAATATCCTAAATACTAAATAAGGGAAAATAAAATGCTTTGGGATTGCTTACTACAAGAAACATACCCTTCATATCTGAAAGTAGAATTTTAAATGTATCTACATGAACACATATAATTAGATTCTCAAGTGTGGCAACCAGCTAATTACAATGATTAGTAACAAGGAAGTGAGAAGCAACCAGATTTAAGATGATTTAAAATGTAATTCTAGCTAAGGTATTTATTAATTTCTGATTACTCCAAAATCTATAATGTTATTATGATGTGGCCACAGAAACTTTAGATAGAAAAAATGAGAAATTATTATATTGGCGGATGCCACACGTATACTGATTTCATTAATAGCTCCTGTAGAACCTGCAAAGACAAAACCATTACAGTACTAGCCCATTAAACTGCATACCCTGATTCAAGCATTTGCCAAAGCCAAGTCTCTGGGAAATTGCTGCGTATTCTGATAGCGGGTTCTGTAGGTACCATAGTCCCTGCACTCTTTGGAAATGCTGCAGCTTCAATAGGAACAGGAACACCAGCTAAACGACCTTGTAGATCTCCTTCTGCGTTAAAGTTAGACCTGTAGTACACTATTAAGAAAACAATTCCCTTTTTTAAGTGTGAATTGCCTACAACTACATATACAGAATTAAGTCTAATAGGTAGCCCTTTAAAACATGCTGTATAGTGTGATTACATATTGCTCAATACTGGGTTAATAATACTTACTGCAGATGTTAGTTATATCTATACATAAAATGGAACATCCACTTAACTGGGAGAAAAAGAAGTTTTACCCATATTATGTTGGACATGTTGACTGTCTAAGATATATTTGGTATATGATGTTTCAGGACTTGCCTCTATTCCCATCTTCAGATCATTATTTATTTACTTATCTATTTTAGTCAAATTATTGTCAAAGGAGATGTCAGTAACACACATGACCTTAAATTTGCATATATTCTGAATTTTAATGACAAAAATAAATTATCTTTTCATAGAACACAACTGAGCATCACATTCTGTTAATTAATAGAACATATATTCATTTAATAATCAGAATGTTAGCAAAAGAGCTCTCAGCTCCTTCATAAAATATCATTATTATTATTATTGTTGTTGCCTTTGTTACAATGGAGTAAGACTATGTCTCTGTGGAAATGTGGCCACTAACAGGCACATTGTTTATCCCCCAGGCAACACGAGTTAAAATGGAGCATTTGTCGAATGATACAGACAGGGGAACTGAATGACTGTCCCAGTGTCACTTTGTCCATCATCCCACATGGACTACACTGGAACCAAATCCTGACCTCTGCTGTGAGAAGATGGTGGCTAACACTTTGTGCTATGGCATGGCCAAATTTCCTCCTCTGTCAAAAAATTGAAATTCGATAATTTTGTTGTACTGTTTTAAGATCAGTGGCACCTGAGGGAAGGGGCTTCAAAAATATTCTCATTAACAGTGAAATATTACTGTAGTTATCCCATGTTGCCTGTTTTCTTTAGATGTGCTATAGAAAAGGATACTATAGATGAAAAGTATAGATGGTACAAATCGTGTAGAGTCTGAATGTTTTGGGGAGAATAATCCTAGTATTTATTTCTTCTACATAGACTAAGTTTTCAAATTACTACAAAACTAAATTCAAAGAGGCTGATCTCAGTGGCCACACAATTTATGAGGTGTACAGTCTTAGGCCAAACATACACTGGGGTCATCGGCTCATATTTCACCTTGGGTATTTTTCATCTTTATCAATGCTAAATTCCTCAGAAATTGGGGTTCTGTCATAGCCTACACTCCACGCAGCTAAATATTTGTAGACTAAAGAATCTGGGATGCAAGTCCCACAGCTGAATAAGACTTGGAAATACATGAAAAACACTGAGAAAAATCGTTGAAAGAGATCATACTTTGTATTTAACTGCATGTTGGAGGGTCATTTGAAACATTAGTCTATGTAACTACAAAATGACAGGAATAAATTTATACCAGTACAGACATAATTGAGCACATGTAAGGATAAAATTGAGTTAGTTTACATATGTGTCTAAACTGCTTAACATGTAGAAATGAAGATATATGCAGATTAAATAGCTGAGAAGGCAAGAATCACATATAAGAACAAGAAACACAGAAGAACAAGCATTGTCTGCAATGAACATTCTTAACCAAGCCTCCAAGGAATTCCATGTTAAAAATGGGACTACTCTCATCCCCCCACCCTCAATATATTACATTTTCTTATTCATTCATAATATTCAACACATGTTCAAGTGAACGCTCCATTTACTGAACTTGAACCCAAAGAAAATTCATGCATCCCAAAGCCTAAAGTTAAATTATTACATCCAACCATCACACTAGTAAAACTATCATTGTCTCTGTGCATGTGCCTAATAAGTAATTTTTTTAAACTAATATTAGTTACATGAACTAATAAATGAATATACAATTTATTTGATTTATTATATCCAATCTGCCAGGTTTCTATGGAGTATGTAGCACTGTCTTCCCACCACACAGTTTACAACATACAGACATTCCCATAAATCATTCACTCAAAATGAGTTATAATTTGTAACAAATTATTATTATGAATGGCATCACAGGTCATGACAAGACTATCTCATTGATACTAGGCCCACTCTTGCTCTCAGAGAAAGATAACATTGTTTCTCTCAGATTAAACCATGTAATCATTTTATCTTACCAGAAAGTGGAAATTAAACAACAGATGTAGCACACTACTGACATAAATATGCTGTTTTAGTTATTATTTAATTACATATTGACCAGATTTTTCTTTGCAAAAATGTTTTATTGGAGATAGGTATAGTATTTGATAGGCACTACACACAGTTACATAAATTAAAGAAGTTATCACATATTAAAGCAAGTTCTCAATAACAATTAAATTTGCAATAAAGAATAAACTAGTAAGCATATTAATTTCCAGATGTAAACTTGTCATAATGGGGGAAGAGAAGTACACAATATGCATTCACTACACTGACCAATGTATCGTACATGAAACATGACACTGAAAGAAAAACTTTGGAAACAATCACTTGCAAACTGCATAAAGACTTCTGGAAAAACTTGTGTGTCCCAAAGAAAGTCAATGGTATCACACAAGTCACAATAGTTATAATGGCATTAGTGATCAAGATGATAATGTTTTATTACCTGGCACTGGAAATTACAGTGATGGTATTCTCATATCAGCAATAAGTGATAGGTCACCATGGTGATTAATCCCAAAATGTTAATTCCTGAGAAAAATGCCTCCCAACAAAAGAAGTCAAAACTTACAAAACAATGTGTGATCTGTGGCAAGTTTGACACAAGAATAGACACAGTGTAATAATTCCATAACTTAAATATTGCGCTGTGAGTCTGTGGGCATTTCATGTCCCAACACACAAAGAATTATTTCTAAAGCGATGAAAAATGCATACTTATAATCAATAGTCTATAGGGAAATAATATGCCAAATTTTATTGTACAGTAAACTACTGATTGTCCAGGACTTTCCCAGGCACTACAAATTTCAGTTTGTGATTTCTAAATGCATTTCCACAACATATGACCATAAGGTGTTCTTTAAATGATTTTTGCCCAGGAACACACTTCCATCTTTCAAATGCAAGGGTTCTTGTTGGTAAGACTTCCCAGTACCAAATACCTGCATCATCCCCTCTCGATTACCATGACCACTGGAGCAAATCACCCCACCACAGATACACACTCTAGAGCACCAATCATATCTTTTGTAGACTGTCCCAAAATCAACTCCACCCACCACTTGTTCTGAAGCTTACAGCACCATAGCATAGAAAGGGGTCAAAAGCCTAGTCTGCAATTGTCCACATTTATGTAAGAGGAAAGTCATGCATGGATAATACACAAACCAAAGAATCCACACAGAAAATCAGGAGTTTACTGTACTTGAACAGAAAGTATGGAAATTATTACAGTTAAAAATGCATGTAATTTTTAAACTCATCTGAGAAAAATTTAAATATCCAAATGTATAGTTCTCACAACAGAAGTAAGTAAAGGAAATACCCCCACTTTAAAAGATTAAAATAAGTGGATCTGCAAGGACCAAATTAACTGTCTTCCAGTGTTCCTCCAAGTGACATAATTTACTTCACATACCACACTACATTAAGTCAGAACTTCTAAAAAAAAGAGGGAGTATATGAACATATTGTGCTATCAACTTGTACTTACGCCATGGAAAATGCTCATGTACCAAACCATTAGTTAATATTACTGCTCCAGAATTCTGAAACAAGGCAAATGTTTGCATCATCAGATCACACATATGCACTATGCTGTACTATTAAAAGATACAGCACCAACTGAAATCAGATTCAAAGGTGATAAAAGTGAAAGTAAAAACACCTTAGTAATTTGGAAAGAGAACACTTATTGATTCATCCTTACAAAGCACATCACAGGAGGAAATATGATGTAGGTTAACATTTTCTAATTGTGTTTAAATAGTTTCAGATTTATTTTACAAGCTCTAACAGCTCCATATATATGAGCCGGCGTAGCTCAGTCGGTATAGTAACTGGCTACAGACTGGGCTCTGGGGCCCACCCAGCCTCCTATCCAATGGGTACCGAGGTCCTTTCCCGGGGGTAAAGCCGGCCGGGGCGTGATGCTGACCACTCACCCCCATCTAGTGCCGAGGTCAAGAATGAGTATGAGCTATACCTCCACTCCCCCCCAAGCGCCTACATGGCGTATAGTGGGACAGCTTTTATAAATATATATATATATATATATATATATAATAAATTAGCTTTTGTTGACCTGGAAGTTAGGTATTTAAATAATTTATGTGGTGGCTGATATCACATAACAATGTCAAATACCAAAGCCACTTCTAATCACAAAGTTCAGCCACTTTCAGTAAATTTCGTTCTTCTCGTTCATGAACATTTCTGTCTCTAGCCAAAAACTAAAAATAATTTCAATACCGCCCCACAACTCAGCCATCAGACATCTGTATGGTACAAGTCATTCTGTCATTACTCATCCAGTGGTGAACAAAATATTTCAAGTCCTTTTGCTTTATTTCTGATTGGATTAAGTAAGTCACTACTATCATCTTAAACTTGTCACATCATCGTTGGACAAGACAAACTTACAGTAGTAAAACAATTTATTCTTTCAGACAAGTCTCTTATAGTAGGGGTTCTCGCCATTTTTCGCTGGCATACCACTAATTCTAATTTAACACATTAAATGTACCACTAACCAAATGTGTTTAAGAAAAACTTATTTACGTTAATATCATCTTTTGATTTTATTACTTAGTTCACATACCACTCAACATTGCCTCACGTACCACCAATGGTACACATACCATAGGTTGAGACACACTGTCTTATATAACATGTATCACAGACAGTTTAGTAAACTAAAGTAATTTCAATCATGTCAACAATGCACATTGGAAAAATCTTTACTACATCTATTACAGTTGGAATAAAACTTTACCACAGGCATACATTTTATTCTGTAATAAATACAACATAAAAATCTCATTGATGTTGGCTATCCAGTACTTGAAAACTATATTGCAACTCAAACTGGAAAACAATGTCAATGTTACACATGTTATGGTGAAATATTGAAGATTAGTGTTGCAACAAGTACTGCGCTTTTGTTGGAAGATTGATAAGTAAATTCCCCTCCGCAAACCAAGTGGCATATACAGAATAATGAATAATATTTGTTGATTGTTGCAAGTATTCACATACTCCTTCGAAGTATCTGACAGCTATCTTAATAAAACTTTCAGAGTTCTTTGCCACCTGTTTTCAGTGACTATTTTTGACACCACATCCCTACCAAATAATGATCTTACTGCTTAACAAAATCAATTTGATTAAAACTACAAAATTAAACAAATACTGTGATGCTGAATTGTGGGATTGTGGAGTTTCACTTTTGCAAAAATGCCACCACAATTCTGTAAGACAATACAATAATGATAATTTAAATAAAATGAAGCGTGAGGAAATAAACTGCAGGTTTCATTTACTTTTAAAATAATGTGAGCAATATTACATACTGAATATTGAAAGACATTGAGGTCTGTTCCCTTTGGACCGTGTCTCAGTACTTCAAATGTAATTTTTTAGAATTCTAGTTATCATTGCAAATTTCATAAATTCTTATGTTCATGTAGGTGCTCATACCAGGTTTGTGAGACTTAACACCATCACCTCTATAATTACAGTACTGCAATTTAATTATGTAACTTACATCAAACACTTGTCTTGCTGTAGCAGAACCTGGCCACCAATAAGATGATCTCTTTCCTCTAAAATTTAACAAAGGCCAGTATGGTGTTTGAGAGCCTGCATCATATGAGCTCAGCTCTTCCAAAACAGTGTCCTGTAAAACAATTTATTTTGTTATTACAAAAACTACTGCACTCCATTCCTTTAAATGTGTGCAAGAATATAAGTATGACATCAATCAATAAGGGTCTGCTATAGGCTGGCTGGCCTGGATTTGCTTTCCAGAGGACCACTACCAAATCTAGAATGGTTTAAAGGGCCACCTAGCCTCTTATCCAGAGAAACTTTACCAAGGCAAGGAATACATGGAACTTTACTTCTACATTCTATTCTCCTTCATAGTGTGGTGGTGGGTATCTGCTATACCACAGCTTGTGCAACAATACTGCACTTCCTCTTTGAATCCTGATATAAAGCTAAAATGTTACTTTGGTTCTAAAGTGTAAGTTGCCTGTGTATATTCTACCAATCCACCTCCAACTTATGTTTAGTTCAACACACTAATTAACATATACTTAAATGAATAGTAATAACTGCAATGATTGAAGTCAAGACATAATGAAATATGCATCACAGTGTAAAATTACCACACATTTTCTACAACTTAAATTCTGCATGCCATTGACCTCTACTATATGAGAATAGGGTATTTAAATCCCCATATTATGGGCTGCTGGTTGGACTTTAACTGCAGGTTTAGTGATGCAGATAAAAAAGACTAATAAGATTTTTATTTATTTGTTTTCAAGGTTTTACTTTCATAAGATTGTATTTCATATACTCTGTAAATTAATTTCAACTGAAATAAGTCTGACTTAAACAATGTAAGCTCTGAATAAGAATCCTCTTTCAGAATTATGCTTTCAGTCTAAATGACTTCATTAATTTATTTTATATGTACTTTTTTATTGCTCATTTACAGACAGAATGGAAAACATGATGTTCTTCTTCCTGCCATTATTTCACACTTACACAAAATATGAAATAGTAAATCAGAGATTCTAGTGTTTTGTTTTAATGTTGTACCTTTTTGAACCAAGACAATATATAATTATCACAATATATATCAAAATGTTTCATACATTGAAACGTTTCTTATACTAAGGATTGTGCCTCAGTAGTTGGCACACTTGCTTCATATTTTGGAGGTCCTGGGTTCAAGTCATAGACTGAAGACCAGCTGTACTTCAGGTCTTTTATGGTTTTACTTTGTGCCTTTGAGCCAAGTAAAAGACTACTTTAAATTGGACCACAAATGCTTCCATCCACATTCTTTCTAGTCCCTTATTCATTAATCATCCCATCTTCCATTGCTACATAATCTAAGCAACTAAACACATTGTTACATAAATCAAGAATAGACATTAATTACTAGACAGCAATTTTACCATTTACCTCAGTGATATCATTTCCTGACTTTAGTAACAACACACTTTGATCTACTCCCAGGACACCAACATAAGAGTTGGGCTTTGCTTCAAATGTCAGTTCCACATTTGTCCCTGGGCGAGTTTCCTCACTGTTTGTATTAATGTTCACCTGGAAAAGAGAGCTTGCATAATACATCAAAGTAATATCAAGGTAATCACAAGAATATTTCAAATATCAACATCTTCATAAAATATTCTTAGCATGTTCATATCAAATATTGTCTGGGTAGGGAATGTAACATGCATGGGAAATATGAGAAATGCATACTAAATTTTTGTGGAAAACATGAAGGGAGGAAGACCGTGTAAAAAACCTAAACACAGAAGGGAAGACAGTATTATGATAGATCATGAAGAAACAGGGTCAAAGGATGCATGCTGGTTTAAAATGGTGAAGGATAATATCAAGTAGTAGGCCTGAGAAAACATATAAATGTTTCTTCTGATTCCATTAAGGGCAGAGAATTCATTGACTAGCTAATGACCATTAAGTGATCAAGAAGGGCTCTGCTCCATGGAGTTAGTTATCAGTATGATCCCAGAACTGAAATACTTGGACTTATGATACTCTGCTGAACTCAGACTTACTCTAAAATTCTTAAAATTATGTTTTCTTCCAATGTTGGACTAAGTTTCACAAAATTAAAACTCTAACAGCAAAACTCAAATTGAACTTGACATGACACAAGTGCAAATAACTGAATCCCAAAGAGAATTCCCGACTTTCAGAAGATCAAGTTCTAATAAAATGTTAGGCTTAATATTGCAAATTTAAAATTAAACAATAGAAACTTTAGATTCTTTAAATAACTCAGTCCAAACACTACAGGAGCACATGGAGAACAAATATTATCACAATGGAAAAATAATGAGGGGTTTGCAAACTTCAATAATCTGCAAGTTACAAATTCCTTTTTTAAACATTAATAAAGACGGACAGCCAGACAAGAATAACTAATAACAGACTACTTTCCAGCAAATGAGAAATACCAAAACTATTCTCTGAAGTGAGGGTTTACTGAGGATATGATGTGACTACAGACCATTACTTCCTAAAACAATCAAGAAAACAAAGAAGTACACAAATAAAATTACAAACTAAAGAGAACAAATATGAAAGTTAAATGTTACAAGAAAATTCAAGAATATTTAAATATTACTAGATGAAAGAACAATAAAGACTAGTATAGAGAAATAATTGACTATAACACCATGATGAAATGTTGGAATAAATATTTGAAATTGGGGGAAAGAAAAGTATTATACATAATCTTCCTGAGTTCAATAGAAACAAAAACATATGAAACCTGCCATATTCAGGTTAGATAAACAAAGATTTTGGTGAAAGAAGCATATTTGGGCTGGTATATTTAAAATAAAAAATTAACATACTTGGATGACAGAAATCAGCACACAAGGTAACAAGTTTCCTCAATAAGACAGAAACAGCTGTATCTGACATAAAAGTGATAACAAATTAAAAATGGCTCCAATGTTTTAGAGAACATTGATATCTACCTAACAGGGAAAGTCGCCCTCAAGAAGACAGACAGAAGAGAATGTAAGGAGTTAGGTATAGCACTGAGAGAAAGTAAGAACAGGAAGACCACAGGTTTTAATAATTTAAGCACAGAGCTTTTTATGCATGAGCCAAAGGAAGCCAAATATATAAATATTTTTATATACCTTGAATCAGTGCTACCTACAAATAAAGATACTGGAAGAATGGAAAGAAGCTTTCATTATACCAGTTTTTAAAAGAGGAAACAGAAATATATATAAATTAAAATTTATCTGAGTGGTATGTCATATTTTTAGATATCTCTGGTGAATTCATGCCAATGTTGTTTCCTGGGCCAAAGATGGAGACAGTGTGTTTTTCCAGAAGGACAACAATTAGACATCTTCCCTGCAGTAAGAACATCACATCTCTGAAGAATTCAATCTGGCATTAGAAAAGTAATATTCGAATCCAATGTTGGACTAATGATGTGCCACACACTAAAATAACAGTTAAACAATTTTTTTTATCTTTTCTATACACCAGCCTCTGATTATTTTATTATACCCTACATATTTCCTTGTAATGTCAAAATATGTGTGTGTGACTGAACATGATTAATAATTCAACTAACCAATGTTTGTTTTCTTCATTCAATCAACTGCCAAAATTTATTACAGAGCAGAAAAACTATCAGAATTGCTGTTTTCTTTTGTTTACCTTCTATTTTGTCAGAATTAAAAATACACAACTTACAAAATTCTGTAGTGATCCTTCCAATTCAATATCAAGTGCATCTGCAACTATTTCACCATCTTCCTTCACATAAAACACCACAACATGTGCAGTTGGTGCCATGACATATGTGGCCAGAAATCTGAACTTATGTGTCTTTTTATCGGACACTTGTACTGCATTGGCCAGAACCACATCACCACGACCAATCACCTGGTAGCTGAAATACTTCATGGGCTCTGTTGAGTTTATTTCAAGTTCAATATCTTGATTCACCTGCAGTACAGAGGAAAGGTTAACTATTACATTCTTATAATTATATGTAAATGCCGCAGAAAATCAGCAAATTAAAAAACTTTGACTTGGTTTATGCTGTTATTTTTAATTAAATGTAGAAATAATTAACTTATGGGTCATGTGTGATGAATAAATAAATTTTATTTTGCATAAGTGATCCCATAAATTCTAATCATATGTGGTAATATGTTATTATACTTAGTGTTTATATCTCAGGGAAATCATAACCTTAGTACTTCTGTAATATTTGTTAGAACTTGTTCATATATGGGACTTTCAACAACTGCACTGGTCATTTGCTGTCAAGTCTGAAATATATGAAATACAGTATAGTCAAAGTAATACAGTGACTTTCAAAATGTGTGAAACGAACAAAATATTGCTTATTTTAATGTACTGATACGTTATTTGAGTGTAGTACCTGAGAAAACAATAAAAGATTTGTTATGGCTTCCTCATGCTTGGTTTTAGAAAATGAGCTATTATGTCTGATATCATGTACAGCAGGCCTACTGGCATGATGATACTATGCAGTTATCTTTAGTTTTCTCAATATTACATTTCTTATGGAGAATAACCTGCTTTATATTCAAAATATTTCGTAGAAATCTTTCAAACAGAGTACGTAGTTAGTCCTGATGCATAACATTTATATGCTTCAGATTTCTTCACATCCAAAATTTAAATTCGTATGAAACCTTGCACTGGTCACAGTGGCCATGCAGTCTGAGGCATGGGCCTTGTGTGCTTGGACACTTGGGCCGTGGGTTCAAATCCCACTCAAGGCATGGATGTTTGCCCATGTCTTTCTGTGTTTTGCTGTCATGTGTGCAGGTAGAGGCCTTGCGATGGGCTGATCACTCAGCCAAGACCCACACTGGGTTGTAGAGCCAGAGATGAGATGAGACAAAACCTTGCATTATTAAAACAGGACAGTGAGACTTTAACCATAACCAATGTTGGGTATTTTTATTTAAACAGTAACTCATATAGATATTTTTTGTGCTTACAACACTTAATGTAAAATTCAGGATGCTGATTGTAATCTTTTGTGTTGTGATGCCTTGTGGTCTTGTAGATGATAAACATACTGGAGTAACATATATGATCTCCAACTGAAGATGGAGATAGTATGTTTCTCTGAAACATTGGTATCTACCTGAAAGTTCACATGGCATCACAACTTAGAAAAATGACATAAACAGCAATAATTGTGTTCATAAAAACTTTAAAAAAAACATTTTATTGAAGATTTCTCTGTCATCAGGGCATCATCGCCCTGATGATGGAGACAGTATAATCTCTGAAACGTTGGTAAACATCGACCAGACTACACAGTGCAACAACCAAGAAAACAGAAATCTTCATACTCATCGCCCTGATGACAGAGGCAGTATAACCTCTGAAACGTTGGTAAACATAGACCAGACTACACAGCGCAACAACCCAGAAGAAAGAAATCTTCATACTCATCGCCCTGATGACAGAGGCAGTATAACCTCTGAAACGTTGGTAAACATAGACCAGACTACACAGCGCAACAACCCAGAAGAAAGAAATCTTCATACTCATCGCCCTGATGACAGAGGCAGTATAACCTCTGAAACGTTGGTAAACATCGACCAGACTACACAGTGCAACAACCCAGAAAACAGAAATCTTCATACACAAAGCCCTGATGATGGAGGCAGTATAACCTCTGAAACGTTGGTAAACATCGACCAGACTACACAGTGCAACAACTCAGAAGACAGAAATCTTCATACTCACCACTGTGAAAACCTCAAACCTTACAAACATTTTATTGTCTGAAGCCCCTCATAACATGGGACCCTATGCTGTAGTTTATTTAGCTGATATGCAAATCTGTTACTGGCTTTATAATAGAAATCTTCATAGTGGACATCACTGCTTTCATCATCATCATCATCTTGTCCGATAGTAGATCATGTGGCCTGTTATAGTTTTATGACATCTTTTCAGTAGTCTTCCTAAAGATGGCTGTCTTCTTGGTTGTAGCAACATGCACAACTGTGAAAACCTCAAATCCAACTTAGTCTTCCTAAACTTTGCTCCCTCCTTTGCATGTATGTTATAATCTTTAATGCTTGTCTGTTTTCTTTCCAATTCTTCTTATATGCTGTTATTTCCAATCAGTTTGATAATTTAGTACAAATCTGATGATTGGTTGAATTTTTCTTCCTCTAAAATGTCTTCACTTCACTAATTTCATGTGTACTTCTCTTCATAAATGTTATTTCCAGTGCTGATAATTTCTTTTCATCTGATTTGTAGTTACCCAGGCTTCACTTACAAAAGACAACACAGGCCTTGCCAAAGTTGTGTAAATGTTCCATCTAAATGGTTTTCTTTTTTTTGCTAATGAAGGTTGAATTTTTCATTGTATAGATACTGGTATTTTTGATAACATACCTTTTATTTACATGACAGGTCTATAAAGCAGCAGATGCGAATTTTACTCCTAATATGGTCTTTACCTAAAGAGATAATTATTCTTTTTAATTAAAAGACTACTGTATACAAATTTCAAAAGGTGTTCTTCACACCACACAATACCTAACATTATTTCCTGAAAAGTATATAAGAATAAGATTAAATAATGAAAACAATTTCCTTTTGTTTTGATTAATACTGATTTTAGGAATTACAAACTACTGTTGTGGACCAGGCTCCAATGGCATGATCTCCATACCAAACTTCATGAAAATCCATTCATCCATTCCCAAATTATTATATGGCCAAGATTGCAGTTCCCAACACCACAGATACATGACAGAATGACCTCTTCAGCTGAATGATGTGACAGACAAATATGGATGGCACTTGACGTGCTCTTTACATACACTAAATCATAAAGAAGTAAGATATATGTAAATACATAAATAAAATACTCAAATGATAATTAAATTCTGGGCAGTCAGATGATTATTGTTCAACACACAACCAACAGATATATTCTCCTACATTAAAAGAAAAAACAAGCAAAGTGATTAATATCATAAACTTATATATTGTTAGTAGTTTTAATTGTTCATTACTCACCACTGGATGTTCTGTATTGATAACTGCCTGAATAAATGTGTTGCTAGGAGACATGGAAGCACTAACAGTAGAAAACCATTCCTTAATATCCAGGTATTCAGCCTGCAACAAAGAAAATTTACAACTCAATAAGTTACTCAGAATATGGCTTATTCTCAACATTGTGACTGATTTAATTAAAGTGTAATTAATGCCCATTTAAACCAGTGCAGATGCATAATCGATACAGTGAAACCTCTATCCATCGTTCCCGGAACTATCGTTTTCCCGGATGCATCGTCCGTTTTGTTCGGTCCCGAATACATCCCATATAAAATAATGTTACATTTTCCCGCTTCTATCGTTCCTCGAACTATCGTTTTATCGCATCGATCGTTCAAAAATCGTAGTCCCGGCCCACAATTTTCCCGCAATGATCGTTCCTGAGAATTTAAAATGCTGGGTTTAGAGATAAATTAATACCGAAAGACGCACAATGTTTTTGGAATAAACAGTAGCGGTAACCTGTTATGTCGCCCAACCAGCACATTCTTTTGGAATGAGGGTCAGCGGTGCAGGGGTGATAGTTGGAGTGAATGGCGGTGCCCATTGTCAGAAATTTTACGATTTTAATTAGGGTGCACTCATATTTCGTTCCAGCGATGCCAGATGGCATGTGCAGTGTGAATTTCTTCACAAATGCTTTTATTACAAGGACAAAGGAAAGGC